CACACACACACACACACACACACACACACACACACACACACCACACAATACACACACATAAATAAAATAAAATAATTTTTTTAAAAATAAAAGGCAGTAGATGCTAGAGATGGTTCAACAGTTGTGCTGGATAGCTTCTTTACTGTCAACTTGACACACCCAGGTTGAGAGAGCCTCAACTGGGGAACTGCCTCCATTGGACTGGCCTTTGGCCATGTCTATGGGGCATCTTCTTGATTGCTGAGTGATGTGGGAGGGCCCAGTCCACTGTAGGTGGTGTCACCCCTGGGCAGGTGGGTCTGTGTTGTATAAGAAAACAGGTTGAGTAGGGACCAGGGGAGCAAGCCAGTAAGTAGCATTCCTCCATGGCCTACACTACAGCTCTTGACTCCAGGTTCCAGCCCTGAGTTTCTACCTTGAGCTCCCTGATGAACTGTGACCCTGGAGATGTAAGACAAATAAACCAGAGTGTTTTGTCACAGCAATGAAGAAACAAACTAGAACAGCAGCTAAAAAGCACTAAGTACTCTTCCAGAGACCAAGTTCCATTCTCAGTACCTATAGGGTGGTTAACAATCATCCATAATTCCAGTTCCTGAGGATACAACACCCTCTTCTGGCTTCTGAAGACACTGCCACAGGTGGTAAACTTACACACACACACACACACACACACACACACACACACATACACACGCACACGCACACGCACGCGCGCAAGCAGAAAATAAGGTAGATGGCTCCTGAGGAGGGACCCCTGAGGTTGACCTATGGCCTCCACATGCATCAGTACATACATGTATATGTATCTGCACACACATCACATACATATACATGTGCACCTGTACACACATAAAATAAAACAAATTTTCAAATACAGGCATAAAAACAAATTGTTTTCATTTCACCAGTGGGGACAGAGGTATAAAGATGATTATGATTATTTGAGATATTCTGTATGAAATACACAAAAATTCAATAAAAAAAAATTTTTTTAATGGATTTTTTAAAAATCTACATAAACATGTCAATTACAGAAGCTAATTTGTTCTCTTAATAATTCATGCCTCTCATGAAAACCCTCCTTCCCTTACCGGCTTCTTCTGGAAAGCTCCCTGTTGAAATCATCTCCAAGGCGAACTTGTTCACTGCTGAGGTCTCGGAGGGACTGATGAAAAGTATGAAGCTATGAGAAGAAAGCAGGTTCAGCTATAAGCAACCAATAATGGTAAGAGCTCCGTCTTTCACAAAAGTAACCCAACTCTTGAGTGTCATTAGTAATCAATAAATATCTGTTATTTAAAAAGCTCTTCAAAGAAAAGCTATTTTACGAGGTAAATACAGGGGGCTGGAGAGATGGCTCAGCAGTTAAGACCACTGACTGCTCTTGCAGAGGACCCGGGTTCAATTCCCATTACCCACATGGCAGCTATAAACCATCCTTAAATCCAGTTCCAGAGGAATCAGAAGCCCTCTTCCAACATTGTACAACATGGGTGCACTCACATACATGTAGGCAATACACTCATACACACAAAAAAATAAAATTAATAAATTTAAAAAAGGTAAATACAGAACTAACTATAGCATTCTTTATGGTACTTTACTGCTAATACACAGCCTATGTAAAGCAAATATTTAGAATTACAATTCTATCATCTCTGTCAACTCTGCTAAAGTGCAAAACTAGCCATAAGCTAATGAGCACAGCTGCATTACAATAAAACTTCATCTCATCAGCCCACATGCCCCAGTTTGCCAACATCTGCTGCCAAGAAACTCTTGCCCACACCCACTAGAAACCATGTTCAAGAAGCTGCATTACTCCCAATGAGTATTAGACTCAACCCTACAGTGCATCAAGAGTAGAACAGAGATAAGCTGCAATGGATTCTCCAAGGAGTCACACAGCAGTGCAAACAATGATCAAAGTAACCACACATGAGCAATGCCAAATGTCAGAAGCTCAACATCAGTGAAAAAAAAAGGAAATTCCACAAAAGATATTCAATAGCATCCAATTTATATGAAGTAAAGATTTTTTTTTTTTTTTTTTAAGCAAAGAAATGGAGCTAAACAGATGCCTCCGGGGCTAAGAGCACTGGCTGCTCTGGCAGAGGACCTGGGTTTGGTTCCTAGCACCCACATGGCAGCAAATAACTGTCCATTAACTCCAGTTCTAGGGGATCCATGCCCTCTTCTGGCCTCCATGGGCATTGCATGACATGGGTGCACTTACATACAAGCAGGCAAAACACTCAGACACATAAAAATTTTTTTTTTTTTTTTCGGTCTTTTTGAGACCGGGTCTCCCTGTAGCCCCAGCTGGCCTGGAACTCACTTTGTAGACCAGGCTGGCCTTGAACTCACAGAAATCTGCCTGCCTCTGCCTCCCGAGTGCTGGGGTTAAAAGCATGTGCCACGATACCCGGCATAAAATAAAATTTTTAATTTAAAAAAAAGCAAAGAAATAAGGAATATGAAAGTCAGGATTCTGCATACTCCTTAGGGGAAAAAGAAGTAAAAAAGAGGCTTAGGGGTATATGTGCATTTCTTGTCCTGGGTGGTGGATACATGGTGTCCAAGCTCAACATTATACCGTTAAACCTGAAAATATACATATAAATTTCTTACTTATTATAAAGTAGTTCCACCAATTATTTACAATTCAAAAACATCAATAGTAAAACAATTACTAAGTCAACCATATAAGGACTAATTTATTTATATTTGCTCAAACTTAGCAAAATATAGCAATGACTTAGCAGGGCTTTCCAAAGAGTGGACCAAATGCACAGGAAAGGAAACAAGATACATCTAAATACATTTTAAATCTTCAAAATACAATCCTCAACAATGAAATTCAAAATAAACATACATTCCTGAAATAAAAGAACTGTTCTTTCTGCTGGGAGCTACTGATAGGGATGGGTATAGGGAAGGAGAAATTGTCTATGTACTAGGAACACTAAATCTCTTAAAAATTAAAATCTTAAGGAAATTTTTTTAAGATTTTTACATTGAAAATAAAGTAATTTACTTGGTTTTAAAAGAAAAAAGTCAATACAAAGTTACTGATGATCAAATTTTTAGTTAAGATATGCCCATAAAGTTCACATGTCAGTCAATTATATACAAATTTAAGGATGAGACATATAAACTACACCATGTTACAACGTACCTGGATCATGTCGTCAGACTCCCGAATAAACCGAACACCAGCTCTGGACCGGTTTCGCTTAATCCCCTGTGGCTCATAGTCCTTGTGAGGTGAGGTGGGTAGAAAGCGGAGGCTCTCTGTGCAGTGCAAAGAGGATGACGTCGCTGCATGAGAACAATCTAAAACCTGACCTTGTACATGCCAAGCAAAATGCTACAGTCATAAAGTTCCACAACATTGGCATTAATCTTGTTCTTAAAACAGATAAAATGAACAAACTTAACCTGAAAACAGAATGTGCCAGAAGTTCCAATATTTAATACTTTCCAAAGAAAAAACATAATTTCTCATACATAAAAATAATTGCTAAATACTTAAAATCTTTAGGTCTTTGTAAAATATTAACTTGCAACTAATAAGATAGAATTTTGTAAATATCAAATCAATTAATCTAAAATTAAAACAATGCCTTAAAATCAATAAAAACAAACTCCATAAAAAATGATAGTGTCCAATTTTTAATCACTATGATGATGAGCAACAGCAACATTAATGATGAAAGTGTGAATGTTCATCTAACCAAATCACCTCCCTTCACTGCAGACTTTTTGATTCAAACATTAATCTCACTGCTGTAAGAAAAAATATTAATTATAAGTAAAAGAAGTTGCTTAATTACATCTAACCCACCCACTGGCATCAAGTTGAACACCAAGGCTAAAGTTCTCCTGCTTTGTTATTTTGATGTTTTGTTTCATTTTGTTTTGTTTGGAGAGTCTCACTATGCAGCCCTAGCTGGTCTGGAACTCACTTGCGTAGACCAGGCTGAGCTCAAACTCAAGAGATGTGCATACCTCTGCCTCCTGAGTACGGGGATTAAAAGCATAGGCCACCATGCCCAGTCAGATCACCTGCTTTTAACAACTGCTTTAACATCAGTTATAAGGTAGCTGATGACCAGAAATTTGAAAACTACTATACTAGGACAAGAGTAGTAATCCAAAATCATACTACATAGCAAATCTTACTTGTGTATTTCTTTGATGCTTTGGCAGTAATTAAAATCCAAGCTTTATTGGTTAAAGCTGTAGGCAGTCTACAGCGCCTAAGAAAAATAAAACTAACAGACTCCGAATATCAAAGACCCTTGAATAAATTCTAAAGCATGACTTACTTACTACTCCTGGCAACTGCATGTTCTAACACCTAGTCTGTAAGTATTGTAGTCCTCTAAAGACTAAATACACTCAACATGTACTTGAGAAGTATTCTTGAAATTTAAAATTTTAAAAAAAAAAAATGCTTTAGAACATGTGAAGGGTTTACCTGCCACAGTGCCAGCATCAAGATCACTTGCACTCAGACTGGTGAAAGAAACACTTCTCCCTCCTGAGTTTCTCAGCAAACGCTGACTCCTCAGTTGGCTTATTGACTGTTCCAAGCTTTCCTTTAACTAAAAAATATGAAAGGAGAGTTATTCTTCTTAAACGACTTCCAAACACAAAGAGACTACAGATATGTAGAAAGCTATTTCTGAAATAGCTTCCCAGAGAGAATGGCTATCAGAGGAACTTTGAATTACGTTATATTAGGAAATATGAAACTAGTAAACCTAAGTACTTGAAGAGCAAATGCTAACCTATGGCTTCAAATACCTTCTGTCACCACCCATCCCCCCTTCCTGCTGCCAGAGGCAGGAGATGCCACCTTATGTAAAAGTTTGCAAAGTAGGCTGAAATGTCTCACTTGACACATTTGTGGAGTAACCTAATGAGGCCAACACATTTGAAAGAAAAGAAAAGGCACTCTTCTCTTCTAAATATTCTCTCAGAAACCAGGGGCTCTGTAACAGACTGGGCACTGAACAGCTATCCAAGTGACTGGAGCTACTAAACAATGTACCTAACTGCATCAGATATTCACCGAAAGATTACACAATCTAGAAAACTATGAGAACAAATGTCAGAGTATCAGCGCATACTAGGGATTAGTAAAAGAAAAGGCACTCTTCTCTTCTAAATATTCTCTCAGAAACCAGGGGCTCTGTAACAGACTGGGCACTGAACAGCTATCCAAGTGACTGGAGCTACTAAACAATGTACCTAACTGCATCAGATATTCACCGAAAGATTACACAATCTAGAAAACTATGAGAACAAATGTCAGAGTATCAGCGCATACTAGGGATTAGTGCTATTTA